CCGTCTATCGGCGTCCACGTTCGCTTGGCAACTCCTTGTCTTCTCAGTGCTGTAACTTTCATAGGATGTCAAATATAAAAAATTCTCTTTACCCACATATTCTACACATATTGTAGATTTGATTTATGAAAAAAAAAATTTTTGATTTTTTGAACCCATCACACGGGGTGGCCCCCTTAAATAAGAAATAAGAATATGTTTGAAAATTTTCAAAATTGCAAAAATTACTCCATATTCAATTTTTCCATAAATTTTTTTTGAAAAATATTTATATTTCCGAAACTATTTAACGGATTTAGATATAAATTAAATATATGGGGCATTCTAAGCGAAAAGGACAACCAGAAATTTCTAATGGAAAATACTTGGCTGTTTCTATTTCAATTCATGCAGGGCGAATAGGTTGAAAATTCTAAATCAAGTTTAATGTTTTTAGAGCTAAACAGCTGACAAATTATTTTCAAATCTTTCTAGTTCTTACAAAAATAAATATTTTTCAATTTTTTTCTTGATTTTAGTAGTGTTTTTGATACTTTTTCTTTGTAAACTTAAAAATTTGAAATTTTTTGAAAATTAACAAAATGGCGGCCATTTTTTGAAAAATCTTGAAAAAACTCAATTTTCTCAGAAACATAATTTTTTATTTTTCTGAAAATTTTTTTGTGATTACCAGATAAAAATAGAAACTTTTTCCAAAATGTTTTATGTCCGCTAAAACTTTTTGGAAGTCGCTATAATTTTTTTCAGAAAATAACATCAAGTTAAAAGTTTGCACAAACAGTAGTCCTATTAGATACAATTAAAAATACCAAATATTATTAATTTATTTAAACAAATTTAAAAACTGGAGGGGGTCAAAGTTTAAATTTTTTGTCTTACATGGAATATTTGAAAAATTTGTAGTTTCTTTAAGTTTTTTTGCTGTTTTTCAGCACTTTCTAATGATGTAAACAAATTTAAAACACCTTTTTTACCTTAAGAATTCAATTAAAAAATAAAGGAGGAGGGTCTATAAGGCCTATTTTCGGCCCACTTCAAATTTTTATTTAAAAGCTTGAAATAAATTTTCCGCCAAAGAAAAATGATAATTATGATGATTGAAGGTTAAATGAGGGTATTTGGAGAATATTAACCCCTAAATAATAAGGGTTTTCGAATGTGAAATGGGTATAAATAAGGGTAAAAAAATTTTCAATTATGAATTAATTGGCTTGAAACTCGTTACTCAGGGGTTTTTGGGGTCGCTGATTACGAATCTGGTATTAGTTTTCCAAAATTCAAAATGGCGGATCCAATATGGCGGATGACTTTTTTAAAATATGAATTAATTCGCTTGAAAATCATTACTCGGGGGTTTTTAGGGTCGCTGATTACGAATATGATGTTAATTTTGAAAAACTAACATCAGATTCGTAATCCAGGACCCAAAAACCCCCGAGTGACAATTTTTATGACAATTAATTCATTTTTTAAAAAAGTCGTACACCATTTTGAATTTTGAAAAACTAACATCATATTCGTAATCAGCGACCCTAAAAACCCCCGAGTAATGATTTTCAAGCGAATTAATTCATGTTTTAAAAAAGTCGTCCGCCATATTGGATCCGCCATTTTGAATTTTGAAAAACTAACACCAGATTCGTAATCAGCGACCCCAAAAACCCCCGAGTGACAAGTTTCGAGCCAATTAATTCATAATTGAAAATTTTTTTACCCTTATTTTTTACCCATTTTTTATTCGAAAACCCTTATTATTTAAGGGTTAATATTCTCCAAACACCCTCATTTAACCTTCAATCATCATAATTATCATTTTTCTTTGGCGGAAAATTTATTTCAAGCTTTTAAATAAAAATTTTAAGTGGGCCGAAAATAGGCCTTATAGACCCTCCTCCTTTCATTTTTTTATCAAATGGACATTTTTGATTTTTTAAAAATTTTTTTCATAAAGGTGAGGTTTTTTCCTAAAAAAATGTGTAGGTCAAAACGTGGGACAAGAACTTTTAACTGGTCAAAATATACATTTACTTCTGCAGTCTACTGCCCCTACGCGTTGTTGGGCTGTATATTGTTTCTAACAATTGAAATAAATTATTTTATGCTTTATTAATTATCTGGTGATCATATTGGATAAATTTTAATTGATTTAGATCATGTGCAGCAACGGAATAAGAAAAAATAACGTCCTTTTTTAAAAAAATGTATTAATTTGTTAACTTTGATTAAAAAGAAAATTATAAACAATTAAAATCCCAAAAATCGGCCTCGAGGGATGTCCCCTTTGATTTAAAACAAAGAAAACTTAAATCTGTTCAAAAATTGTAAGCTGTAGACATTTTTTAATAGTAAATTGTACAAAAAACTCCACTGTGGCCCGGTGCACTGGAGAAGTAAATGTTTAATTTGACCAGTTAAAAGTTCTTGTCCGACGTTTTGACCTAGGGGAGAGTGGGCTACATTGAACCAGCGTCAACAGTGAACCACTTAAATTTTCTGAGAAATGACTGATTGTGAGTGAAATTTTTTCTTATTCAATAAATATAAGGGAAGTGTTCCGGTTGTGGGCACCTTTTTGTTCTTGCCTCATAACATTTGTCCATGTGCATATTATACAAATATATGTGTACAAATTTAAAGCTAGAGGTCTAAGGTGACTGTCAGTGAAGGAATTTAATTGATTCCTTTAAATAAAAAAGTTTTATTAGAAATTTAGTGAAATGGAAATTTTTTGACAAAAAAATGTTTGTACCCGGTTGTGGGCCCCCTTGAAAAATCCGCTAAAAATGGAAAAATATTAAAGGAAACCAACACAAATAAAGAAGAAATGAAAGTTTCTTTATTTTAAGAGAATTTGCCGGGATAAAGAACAAAAATGATGACACGTTTTCACACTATGCTCATCGCTAACAAAAGCATAATGCTTGCATGTGAAGTAGCTAGTACTAATGCACTGAACGACTATATTCATCGCATTTAATCGAGTTTGCGGCTGTCAATTTCCTTGGCAGAAAGTTTAGATAGATGAGACAGTAGTCCACATCATTTTCAGATGGTAGAGCCACCTTAACATAAAGGTGCCCACAACCGGGAATGACAGTCATTTTTTAAAAAGACCAACACATTTTGTGATGCAGGATTTTGGTTAAACACGAAGGTAAATCACAAAATATAATGACAATACTGCAAAAAAAATTAAACCCTTTTTTTCTGAACGAATCTACACCCATATGTTGCTCTTCGAAAACAATACAAAATTACTTTTTTATTTATTTAATGCAAATTTTCTTTATTATGCTCACAGCTATTACACAAATGCATATATATTTGTTTCGTTATCAATACGAAAAGTCCGTATTGTCAACGAACACGACTTGCAATACTTAGATCAGTAAAGTCTGCTTGCCGTCGAAGTTAAACCTGAGAAGAACAATTAAATACTTTTTTAAAATTTGCAATGCCATTAACAGGATTTTACCGATTTAAAAAAATAAGTGTCAAATATTTTTCTATACAGTATATGTACACGGAGTATCAAAAAATTTGGCGAGTGAAAGTTGCGAGTAGTGTTATTTGTTAGTGTATTAAATAAATAACTTCATGGAAGTTTGCAGTGTAATATTACTGCAGTATTGCCGCGTTAATTTAAAACCCTTAACACGATGTGCATTTACATTTTATTACACTGTGATTGGGCATATACATATTTTGTTACCTATGTTTAGCATATATTTGAAAATAACTCCTCTTTCTAAAAAATATTTAGTAATATTTAATTTAACGTTAAACTTTCGCAGCAAGCTTTCTGGAAATTTGCAAGTTTACCTATTAAAGTTTCAGGACGCTTGCATTACAAACGTCAGTTCAGTATAAATCTATGTATCTCAAAAACGAGTGCAAGATGAAGTTAACTCACAAATTAATGCAAGACAATTCTAATTCATTCTTTAGTTCAAGATAATGCTATCTCAAAATCCAATGCATTAAAATGATTATTAATTAATATAATCAAAAATTTTAATAGAATTTTTACTCATACATATTAACTATTTTTAAAATTATTATATTTCACATTTTGATAAAAAAATTTAGTACAATTCCCTCACAGTATGGGATATCCCATTTCCATATCTGTCCTTAAAATTCTTGTACATGATCCTGTAGTTGGCATCTCTGTCCTGTACAAGATCTTGTATAAGAATTTGTACTAGATCAAATATTTAAAAATTGTGTTGTACCAAAATGATAATAATAGTACTTGTACAAGTTGTTGTATATGTTCTCGTACATGTTCACTTATGTCTATATGTAGCAAAAAATTAAAACTTTATAAGCTGCGAAGTAGTTTTTAGCCATCACAACTGAAGAGTCTTATATATTGTTAGTTATTAAAATCGTGCTCCTCAAAAATCATAGATTCATTCGACTCATTAACGTCGGCAAGAGAACCAGGATTAGGATTTATAGCTCCATCGTCTGTTGGGATCACCGATAACAGTGAGAAGATCAGAAGGTGCACTAGAGGACTCTTTTGAAGAAGCAAAATTAGAATTAACGTTCTCATTATTAGCCTTCTTTGAAATCTGTTTTAGTGATTCATTAGATTCATTGTGTTAGTTAGGCCTATTCGTGTAGGAGTAGGGTAGAGGGAGGTCTGAGCGTTTGTGTTTTGAAGTTTGTGTAAAAGATCCAATAGAAAATAATATCTGATCTCCTTAATCAGTAAATTTAGGAGAAATGTTCATACCAGTTAGGAAGTCCGTTTTGCTTGCAGGTGTGGATATAGCTCGACTATTGTTGGATAAAATGTAAAAAAACACTATTACTCCTTAGTTCCAGATATACTGTACAGAAATGCGTCATCTACTTGATTCCATGCTTAAACCTTTAAATTAAATATTTTTTTAGTCTTGACCAGGATTCTTGCATTCTGTCCTACTGTGCTTCGAAGACAACAGACTTATAACGAAAACCAACCAACATTAATTTTATTTTGTTTACAGGTTAAAGAACTATGCGCATTACATGCTTTAAACAATTTATTTCAAGAACGAGGCTTCAGCAAGCAAGAACTAGACCAAATTTGTTACAGTTTAAGTCCAGACGTATGGATAAATCCTCACAAATCTTTGCTTGGTCTTGGCAATTATGACATTAACGTTATTATGGCAGCATTGCAAAGAAGAGGCTGTGAAGCTGTTTGGTTTGATAAGCGAAGGTATAGATATTTAAAATTCAAATTTTCTTATTATATTTAAAACTTTTTATTATTTTATTTTTCATACAAACTTGTTAATTTATTTCTCCTTTTCTAATACGGGAAGCAAAGATTTCAAGATGTTTAAAATGTTAATGCTTCATTTAAAAAGTGATTTATATGGATTGTTAATCACTGTTTTGTTTTCAATTAAAATTTGTATCAGGGTAGATAAAGCTCGTAGAGTTTGTAATATATGTTACCTAATAAAATTAATTTTTAATTTTCTTTCTCACCTTTAGAGATCCAAGTTGTCTATGTCTTAAAAACATCCAAGGTTTTATATTAAACGTTCCAACGGAATATAAATTAGGATTTGTATTGTTGCCATTGAAAAGACGTCATTGGGTTGCTCTTAAAAAAATTGACGGTGCTTTCTACAATTTAGACTCCAAATTAGATGCTCCTCAACTTATCGGAAAGGTATATTTGCATGAATTTATCTTTTTATTTGAAAAAAATTAATTAGAGTTGGAGATGGATGAACATAAATACTTGAGATATAACAATAAATACATATTTATTGTGACGTTATTATTAGGTATATAATTTTAATTAAATTACGATCTACTAGTGAGTCTTAAATGTGTAGTCAATTACAAGTAATAACCAAACCACCATCAGTCACAACCATAGCGCCACCAGTAATAACCATACTACCACTTTTGTACTTTCGTATACCCTACGACCTTAGATGTGCCAATAAGTGCCTTGAGGTTATCCCCAAAGTGATGTTCAGTCTTTAATACTATTGAATATATCTTGAGATTGTTTTTTAAATTAAATTTATAATCGTTTTCTATTTAAAAAAAAATTTTTAAATCTTAATATTTACAGGATTCTGAATTATTGGCTTACCTAAAAGACCAAATAGACAGTAGAGAAAAAGAATTATTTCTGGTTGTTTCAAGAGAAGTGGACAGTAATCAAGGTTGGTTATGTGAAGCAGGACAGATGAAGGAATGCTCAGAAGTTGATAGGCATTCTATTACGTATATAGAAGATGGATTTTCTTCGAACATTGATTTAAAAAAGTCGGTTCCTGAAGTTATTTTAAATGATAATGAACACTTTCAAAATAACCAAATTTCTAGATAGTCCTAATGAATTTCTTTTTTTTATATCTAAATTTCAGTGAAAATGATAGTAAAATATAACAGCGACAATAGAGCAAAGAATTTAACAAGTTAAATAAACAGGACATATGGCGATCAGTATTTAGCACAAAAAGTGGAAAGTAAGTGGATAATTCCTGCAATACTGGCGTCAAATTTATTTGCACAAAATTAAATTGGTGCACTTTTTGTAATACGTCGAAAATGACGTCGAAAATTTTATATGTGTTGATAACGGCAATGTAATGTCGCTAATAGCTATAGTTTATTTTAGCTCTTTATATGTATACTATACTTAAACAAATTTTTTACATAAGATACCATTATTTCCCAGAAAAAATATGTCTAATTGTAACTTTGTCATAATTGATTCAAAAGCTGATTTGTGTTCTCCATAAACACCCCACGTAACGATCCATTTCAAAAAAATTTTCATATCAAAGTTCTAACGTCTGAATAATATAGTTTATTTGCTTGCAACAATCCAATCTTGCTGTATTGAACTACAATAATTCTATTGTTCAAAATTGCTAATGGGTTGGAAGTCTGTAGCTTATTACAACCCCCACAGCACCGAAACTTTCCTAAAAATTTATTAAATATTTACTTGCAATATTCGGAATATTTAATTGCTATGTTTATTGAAAGTTGTGTACAGATTTAAATGTCCCGATTAAATAAATGTTTAGCGCGAAGCTTTCCTGAACATTTCCTGAACATGAAATTACATCTTCGCATAATTATAATTATGCGATTTTTAGGAAAGTTTCGGTGCTGTGGGGAAAATAACAAAACCATTTTGAATTTTAGAAATCTGGCTAGTATTTCAAAAATGGCCTAAAGCCATTGAAAACGACTTTTTTACCTTTAATCTGCGTATAATTATAAAATGTTTCTCGATCAAATTTATAATGAAGAAAAGAAGTGTGGCCTACTTAAGAAAGTATGCCTTGTATTTCCTTTCTAAATTTGAAATTAAAAAAATTTTATTGATTTTAAATATATTTTAACCCGTTATCTATAAAAGTTTATAAAACGAAATCGAACTAAGCAGAAGAAATTAAATCTGCAAATACATAACTGTTCTGAACTAACAGATGCACTGTTGTATACACAGATACCTACACCGTTCATTCTAAAAGCGTTAAAAATAATTAACATTTCTGGAGTTTATTCTGAAATGTTAACATTATTTTCAAAAATTCAGTTTCCTAAAGACATAGGTATAAATGAAATTATACATGTACGTACGATAACCGCAAATTGAAAAGCATAATTTAATAGTGTTATATGCAGCAAAATAACTTATTTCATGTATTATACGAGGTATCTCAGAAAGAAGAGGTGAATTGAAATGAAAACTCCCCTTTAGCATAAATAATTCAACACTGTCCTTTAGAATCATGATTCAGTTCACGAATAGAATGAAATGAAAGCAAGAATTGAGTAGAATTATTCTATTTACAAAATGTAATTACTGTAATTATTGGAATTGATGTACATTTATTTGTACTGAATTTTTTACAGTAAAACTAAAATTAATTTAACGAATTCAATTGGTAAATGAATTTTTATATACATTTTTCATAAATGTATAAATATTAATATATTTAAAAGAAACTCAGATAGCATGTAATGTTGCAAAAATCTTGCGGGAAGCTTACCGGGAAAGTTTTGCAAGCTTCAAATTTTTCAACGTGTAAACTGATATTTAACCATTTCGTGCTCCCGGGAAACTCAGCGAGTGGATTTTGTTAAAACTTGTGATTTGAAAGTTTTCGAAGTCATTGATTACGAATCTAAAGTCAGATTTAAAAAAATTAAAAATTGTGACCCCGAAAACCACAGAATAACAAGTTTTAACGTTTTAAGTGAATTTGATAAATTTTGAAAAAATGACCGCCATTTTGAATTTTTAAAATCTGATTTTAGATTCGTAATCAGATACCCCGAAAACCCCCTTATTTTCTAATTAATTTAAATGAATAATAATAATTATTATTATTCTATTTATAAAATGTAAATAGAATAAAAAACAAGCAACTTTAGATCTTTGAAGAAACTAACGAAGATAAAGATTAAAAAACCTTTTTATTTTATGTCAACGTTTCAAGCTTTAGCAGCAGCTCATGCTCAGGACTAAAACTGAAGATTTTTGCAAGACTACATGCTATCTGGGAATTTTAAACTTTTTTTAAACATTTGAATGCCAATTAAACGTTTCTATATAACGCTTACACTGAAATACTTTTATAACAACTATAAACACTTTATAAAAAACAATGTAACTTCACTTTTGTGCCTATATGGAAAAATGCTTTTTTATATACATATGCTGAAATGTAGATTGGAATTTGACTTAATGAAAAATCCATGTATAGCTTTTATGAATAAAATAGAATTATTTCAGCTTTAAATGTAATTCACTGAAAATAATTAGAATTGAGACCAACTTGGAGGATGATTTGATGTATAGAAATATTTTAATTATTTTCAACTTCAATTCAGTAGGAATAATTAATTTGAGTCGACATTTGGTAGGATTAAAAGTATTTGAAATTCCACAACATTAGGAATTTGTTTTACTCATTTGAATCAACCTCTTCTTACCGGGATTTTTAAGAATCGAAACCGAATTAATGAAGTCACTTTTATTATTTATTTATAACAATATCGTCCGAAATGGAAATGAAACATTCTTGTTAATAATTTTATTATTCAATGGTTTATTGTATAATGAATATCAAACGTTTCATTGTTTTAAAATTATACAAGAGTTTTACGATAATAATGTCCTGTTTTTATAGTGATTAATTGTTGTATCGTAACCCATATTTCCCTAGCTTACAGTTAAAAAATGCATAATGGGATTATAACATTTTCACAAATTCATTACAATCCTAAAATGATGAAAAAACATTTATTTTCGCTTTCTAAATTTGCTGTCACCTTTTAGAAACTGTATCCAATATCTCTTGAAATTGAAAAACAAATAAATCATTGTTACTTTTTATAATGTAAAAGTTTCCAGAAGTCGAAAAATTTCCTATACATTTCTAAAATAATAAAATAATAGAAATAATTTTCACATTCTGTAGTTGCTGTTTCACTCATAGAGAGGAAATAATTGACACAAAACACTAACGATAAATTAAAAAAAAATGTGAAGTATTTAATTTCTTTCCCCGAGAATTATTGTAATAATCCCTTAAAATGTATGGAAAAATAGCTTTAATTTAATGTTTTGTTCTAAACAAATTTCTTTATGCAATATGTAATACCAAAGTATGTTTTTCTTTCAATTACAGTATTATTTGAAAATGTGATATAACATGTGTGATTAATTGAATACGATAATAAAGTTTTTATATTTTCTGTTATTTTACAACAAACCTTTATTCCGTTCCTATGTAAAATTATTCTAGAAAACCCCTTTTTTCGAAATTCTGTGTGAAAAATGTTATCTTATAGTTTACGAATTATTTTTCAAACATGGGATTAAATTCATTACAGAAAAAAAGAAATATTTCAAGAAGGGTAAGTATTTTATTTACTTATATTATTGTGAAGATACTATCAATATAATCTAACTTATTACCAAAAAAGTATTAATAATTATATAACCATCAATAATCTATTTTCTTTTGCATTTATAAACATTTCCAGCATTTTTTAAACTTTAAATATTTATATCATATGTACATTCTTTCAAAAACTTAAAAAATTTACTTATTGATTTTAAAACAATTTTAATTAACTAATAGATAATATTGGTCTTTTTAAAAAAATTGTTGTTTTAGACAAATTTATGTTTATTTAAGTAATTCATGTCTACGTTGTAAAAAAAATGATTTTAAAGTTAATGATTATCATTGATATTAACAATACTCAAAAGTTATCGATATTTAAGTAGAGCTTTAAAATGTTAAATTCGTTCAAAAAGGTTCTATTTTTTTGCAGAAATAAGCCATTTATTTGTTTATAAAGTTAATAATTTCTTATAACAAATGTAATTGTTTGAGCTAATAAATTTTTTTAATTTTTGAAAGAATGTACATATGATATAAATATTTAAAGTTTAAAAAATGCTGGAAATGTTTATAAATGCAAAAGAAAATAGATTATTGATGGTTATATAATTATTAATAACAATGATAATTGTTAACTTTCAAATCATTTTCTTACAAAATAGACATACATTACTTAAATAAACATAAATTTGTCTACAAAAAAACAATTTTTTAAAAAAAAGACCAAAGTTATCTATTTGTTAATTTAAATTGTTTTTTTAACAAATTAAATAAACTGTATTATGCATTATTATTTGTCAGGTGGTCAGACTAGACTAATTTAAATGGATTTCGATCTTGTGCAATGGAAAAATAAAAAATAAACAGTATTTTATACAAAAATATTTTAAATCGTTAACTTTGAGTAACAAAAAAATAAATAAACAATTAAAAATTCAAAAATCGGTTTGAAGAGATCTCTTAGAAATTTTATCCTCTTTCATTTAAGACCAAGAACATCAAAATCCAATAAAATTTGTAGGCTCTAGACAATTTTGAAGAGTAAAGTGTAAAAATCCCACTGTGAGGCGTCCCGGGTAAAAGATACTGCGCTGGCACTGAAACGTGGTCGCGCTTCCACAAAAATTGCAATATCTCGAAAACTATTAAAGTCTCCATCGTTTTCTTTTTTGTAAATGAAAGGTGAAATTATAAGGAATATTTTATTATATATCGAAAAATACTCAAAAATCGGTCCCGTGCTTAATAAATCGATTCAAAAAATTTTTTCTTACTTTTTTTTTTGAAAAAAACAAAAATTTTTTTTTCTTTTGAAAAATTCTGAAAGGACATGATTTTAACTTTAACATATTTAAATTTTATTAAAATCCGTTAAATTGTTTCGGAAATATTCACATTTGAAAAAAATCTTATAAAAAAATTCAAAATGGCGTAAGGGGCCGTACACATAATACGTCACGCGATTTTTGACCATTTTTAACCCCTCCCTCCCCCTATGTCACACTTCGTCACAAACCTTGAACCCCCCCCCCTCCCCTATAACGTCACGTCACACACGTAAATTTTAATGTGAATTTTATACATTTGACATTATATATTATATCCTACACTCAAAATTATTGAATCAGTTAAAAATATTTTTTTCTGACAATTAGTTAAAAATAACTGATGTTTCAATACAATTTTTTTTGATTAATTCATTTAGTCACGTTTAACTACCTACATCCCACATAGCACAATAATTTTCTGCAAATTTGCGGCAAGTTTTCAAAGCCAAATTTGAAAACTTGCCTGGCAAATTTGCAGCAAACTTGCGGTAAATACCAAAATGTCCGTTTGGTGGCAAGTTTGCAGAGCAAATTTGCAGAAAACTTGCGTGGCAAACTTGCAGATAATTTTGTAGTAAACTTGAGGAAAATTTGCAGCAAACTTTCAAAAAACCTAAAAATTTCAAAAAAAATCTTTTTGTATTCAAAATGTAAGTATTTTGATAAACGTTGCCTTCCCTAACAGGGAAGGTGACATAAATGTAGTGCGCAGCTCTAGATGTCATAGAAAACTACTGCGCATGCATTTAACATTTACTTTGCCATGCAAATTTTCTGCAAATTTGCTCTGCAAACTTGCCACCAAACGGACATTTTGGTATTTACCGCAAATTTGCCAGGCAAGTTTTCGAATTTGGCTTTGAAAACTTGCCGCAAATTTGCAGAAAATTATTGTGCTATGTGGGATATCACCGAAACTTTCCTAAAAATTTATTAAAGATTTACTCGCAAGCTTAGAAATATTTAAATGCAAAGTTTAGTGAAAATTGTGTAAAGATTTAAATATCCCACTTCAATAAATGTTTAACGCGAAACTTTCTTGAAAATATTCACGAAATTATAGTCGAAAATGTAATTAAAATGTTCAGGAATGTTTCAAGCTATCCCAGTAAAAAAAACTAATTCAAATGAATTGAAACGAATTAACATTTTTGGTAGGCTCCAATTCGTATTTGTCACAAAGCGGGATTCACTCACGCTCTTTGTATATTCAATTCAATATGTACCAATTTGTCCAAACGAATTCGCATTCGAAAGAAATGGCCAAGGAATGCATTGAATTCGTGCTAACGAATTGAAAAAAATTAAAGGCTCAAAACTTGTCCAGTGAATTGGTACGGATAGAAGGTTCGGAAGTTCAATACAGTTTCACGAATTCAGGAAAATTGCATCATGGCTCCAATTCGTATTTGTCACAAAGCGGGATTCACGAAAGCTCTTTGTGAATTCTTTTTAATTCATTTCAATTAGTTTTCGTTTACTGGGATATTTTTAAGAAAATTTGACGATAAACATTTATTGTATAGTGAGAAATTTAAATCTTTACACAATTTTAACTAAACTTTGCAAGTAAATTTTTCGAAGTATGCAAGCAAATCTTTAATATATACATATTTAGAAAAGTTTCGGTGTTTTGTGGATAATTTTTCAGTTATTTTTTTAACTGATTCAGAAGCAAAAAGTCAGTCACTGCTGATTGTCAGTTAAAACCAAGATTTTTAACTGATTCAAATTAAGAGAATATATTATTTATCATATTATATTATAAATAATAAACCAATAGATGTTAAATAGGTACATAATAGATATTAAATAGTTTAAAGCATTTTTAACTTGTTTTATTTAGAAAAAGTGACATTGTCACATATAATTTCTTATAATCTTTGGATTTAAAAGATTGTGACGTAACACATGAGTTTACCCCCCCCCCCTCCCCCATGTCACACTTAGTCACAATTCTCAGACCCCCTCCCTCCCCCTAGCCGCGTGACGTATTATGTGTACGGCCCCTAACTTTTACAATTTTGAAAATTTTTTAAAATCCTTTGGTACACTTATTTTTGTTATCAAATATAACAACTTCACCAAATTACAGAATAATCCGAAGACCCCATGCAAATTGTAATTTTTCTGACGGAGTCTTACCCTGAAGTGAATATAATATATTATATTATATTACATATATATAATATTTATATAATTGAAAATAATTAAAATTTTGCCAAGAATTTTATTTTTGAATTTTTGTAAATAAATGAATACCGGAGAAGAATTTTATTATTTATAAAAATAATTGAAATTTTGGCGAGAATTTAAAAAAAATTTTGAACATAATTGAATTTTTGCGAAGAATTTTATTACTTCTGAAAATAATTGAATTTCTGCAATCATTTGAAATTTCTCCAAAATGAAATTTTTTTAGTGTTCTTTAGTGTTAACAAATTTTAGAAGAATTTGATTTATTAAAATTTTTGAAAAGTCTAAGTTCTTTAAAATTTCTAATTAAATTCATTCAATGTTAAAATTTTATAAAATTTTTAATTAAAACCTTTTGAAGTTGATCTATTTATGAAAATTGTAAACGCAACTCTTTTAAAGATAAATTAATTTTGAAATATTTAAGTAAAATTATTCATTAAATTATTTATATATATAATAATTTTGTGATAGTTCTTCCAGAATTAAATTATTTAAAAAGAAATTATTGTCAGAAACAGAAAAAATTCAAGGTTTTATATTATAGAATTTATGGTAATTTCATAGTTTATGAGGTAAACAGAAAAGATACCAAAATTCAGAATTTTCTTATGAATTCTAAAAATTTAATTTTTTGCATTACTTTAAACCCTTTAAGGACCAGATGGACACATTTTAGAGACAATTCTTTATGGTAATTTTCTCGGCGACTAGGGGTTGAAAAAAATCCAAGAGAACTATTCCTTACGTCTTGGACATCGCTCTTTCAGAATCTGCATTCAAAATGAAAAAAAAATCCAAAACTAAAAAGTACAGCCATTTCTTTGAAAAAAACGTTTTTTGAAATTTATTTTTTAAAAGTGAATTTTTTTCGAAGGTATAAAGTCAGAAAAGTTTGTAGAACCATGAAATATCGCGTCCAAAATGTTCATGCTTTCAGATGGTAAAGCGTATTTGCGTAAAATAAATTTTGAAGAAATTATCGGTATAACCCGAAAATTTCTCTTGTGATTTGTTATGAAACTTTAAGAGCCAGATAGTTTACCAAGTACATATAACGCCTGATTTTTTTGGATGGGAAGGTTAATGATTCAAAGGACTTAAAAAAAATATCAACTACATTAAAAATATTTATTATTAAAGAACATTTACAATAAATTACCATTTTATATTTAGAGCTGTGCTCATTTTTTCTATTTCGTGATATTGAGTGTGAAAAAAAGCACTCGATTTATCTGAATATTCACCTTCCAACCACGTTTTATACAAATCTTTAATAACTGGATTTTCTTCAGGATTACTTTGGGGTACTTTGTGATATGCCTCTTCTAATTTCATAATTAATTCTCGCGGTTGTGAACTACTTTGCCCTTTTATTTGTGCCCCACCATTAAGGCATCCTGGAATATATATAATAAGTATTTAATAAAAATATTTTCTTGAAAAGTAAAATAAATATACCGTCCATAAAATACGCAATTCACTCACCAGAAGGACATGCCATTATTTCAACAAAATCATAGTTAGACTTTCCCTTCTTCAATTTTTGAACTAAATTCTGAATATTTCTAAATCCATTAGCAATAGCGAACCTCAACAAAATCTTTCCGTCTTTCTCTAAAACACCTTCTTGAAAGTCGGGATTTCTTAAATTTTTCAACTTTAATTCAGCATCATGATTTTGGAATAGATGCTCGGCTGCATAACGGTAAATAAAATCTGCATATCCTCCCGAACCGGATCCATTATGAGAACAAATTTGGTAATCTGTTTGTTCTCTGTTATCGAATGGTCTCTGAATTTCACCAAGTGTCGCAGATTGTAAAGAAAGGCCCTCTTGATGTAGCATTTGTTCAATTTCAACTACAAAATACAGGCTTATCAAAAAGCGGACATTTTGTTATGGTATGATCTGAAATTTTATGTTCACTAAATGCTAGCCGAAGGAAGTCAACATTCTCTTTTTAAATGAATGTTTTACTTACTTATTTTGAGTTTTATTTCATTTAGGTAAAGAATAATGATATACAGTTTCAACTACTCGACAAATAGGTTAACTCTGAATTTTTTGTAATACGTACAGGAAAAGAATACAATTGAATAAGGCATAATTTATTATTTTTATAAGGATATCAACGAATATGAAAATTGTAAACTACAGAATAAAATAAATCTTTGTATTACGTACTTGTCGTAATGACGCAATCGACATCTCTGGTTTCTTTCAATTGATTATAAAAGTCTTGTCTAGAAGCCTCTAGCTTCTTATCATAACAAGGCATTACTGTTATGTGATAAATATTTTCTGGAGAAAGATTTTTCATTTGTCCATAATGATATTTCACTAGGGAACCCATTATTTGTTGTGGAGATTTTGTAACACTAATATACGGCAATATAAAATTCCCATGCGTCTTTTCGGCATAGCAAACCCAGCCTGAAAAGAAGTTAAATAAATTATCGCCGAAATTGAAGCCTGTATCCAAAGTAAAAAAGAGTATTCGTCATTTCATACTGAGAGTCAAAAAACACCCAAATCGGTTTCGATACCAAAATTTATACACAATACTGATAGCCTAAAAATATCACCTGGACAAGAGGATGATAACATTGGTAATTGACGTTGTGCACCTTCTTGAGAAGATTTAAACCTATCGAGAAATTCTCTAGCTGATTCTAAAAGAGCAAAATCTTCAGCAACCGTCATATCGAGAATAGCATCTGCTCCAAGTTGGGTAAAATATCCAGCCAACTTAAGAGCTGCCTCGTTTGGTTCAAGCCCATATCGTTCAGCTAATGAAAGAATTGGTTGAATTGATAAGCTTACAACAATATGTTTGGCTGTATTTCCTTCTCCTAACTGTAATAAACATTCAGAAGTTCAAATACTTTTTAAAAATTAAAATAGTCAAGTTTTAAAAAAACAAAATACTTTTTTTGCTTTAATATCCTTCATAAGATTCATTGTACGTTTCTACAAAGAATCTTAAATACACCGAACAAATCTTGAGTATCCAACGAGCTCACTTTCTTCAATGTTAAAGTTTATTGTTGTAAATATATTTAAAAACTTACATGTTGTTGGTTCTTCTTTTCTTCAAATACTCGCAATATTTCTTCTTGACTTTGCTGTGTAATAAGTACACTTTCAGCAGATGTTATACAACCGCTACAAGCTAAACAATCGGCAAGTGTAATGCCGACCTTTTCTAGTTGCTTAGTGTCTCCTTTCTAACAATAAAAATTATTATTAAAAAAAGGAATTTTGCAAATTTTTTAATAACAGTTAAAAATATTATTAACCTCATCAATCTCTACGTAACCATCTTCTTGAATTTTAATTTTAGATCCAGTTTTTATATCAGATTTTTTTATTTCCACTGGTTTTATGCATTCCTGAAAAGAAGTTTTTCGAATGATATAGGGCCGACATTTTGTTATTTTTTAATATGTTTTAAAATATGCTTCTAGAACATAAACAATTTTTAAAATGTTAAAAACATTTATATATAGACATGAAACGTTTTAGGAACGTTCCTCGAACGTAAATGTTCCTTTTGCCCACTGGGTTGTCCTCTACATTTCAAAAATTTTAATTAAAAAACAAAAAAAACTTTTTTATAACTGACTCCACAACCTTGGATTATCTTCTTAAAATATTTTTTAATTACTTTTATAGCCAATCCAAATATTTTAAAGATTCCCTTAAAAAATCCTGAATCTATTTTGTCTGAATGTCGAATTTACTAAAAATTATTTTTCCGAATGCTCTTTTCCCGAATCCATTTCCCCGAAACCATGTTCCCAAACATAAATTTTTCACAAAAAGGTATTTGGGAATTTTTAGACCAAAAAATTGTGTTTTGAACGTTATTTTGAAATTGAATTCTTGTTACCTTAGCAACAATTGTAAATAAATAAATAAAGTGTCAGATATAAATTTCTAATCAATATTTTCAATAAAAAAATTTCAAGTTTGAATTAACCAAATGTTTTTTGCGAACCAAATTTTAAGACAGAAATGAATTAAATTTTTTAAGTGCAATCGCTCACAACATTAATCACTATTTTTTGTTTTCATCACCTATTGACAGTTTTTATAGACAATTTAATATCTTTTAACATTAATTTTATTTTATACTTAAAAAAATGAATTATTTTACATTAATTTTTTATACTGTATTTTGTATTCAGCAATGCCAAATTTTTTCAAATTTATTATATATTCGGTCAATATGCATTTGGTAAAATTGTATTCGAAAAAATGATCATTCGGAGAAAAATATGTTCGAATAAATTCATTCGAGAAATGGTCAAGTACCTATCATTTTGAGAAATGTAAAATTTTGTGATGATTTTAATCAATTTATAAATTAATAAATTATCGAATTTGAAAATATCAATGTTCAAAATAGTAAAATTACATCTTGTATTTTTCATTTGCAAGTATGTATTTTTCCTTCATTAAAAAAATGTTATTGCCAAGGATTTTGTAAACTAAAATTACCACATTTTGGAAAATGAATAATTTTACTTAAATATTTCAAAATTAATTCAATTTTAAAAGAGTTGCGTTTACAATATTCATAAATAGATCAACTTCAAAAGATTTTAATTTGAAATTTTATAAAATTTTAATTTTTAATGAATGTAATAAGAAAATTTTAAAAACTTAGATTTTTGCAAAATGTTAATAATTCAAATTCTTCTTGAAATTGGTTAAATTTGTCAATATATATTTTATTTATTTATATATTTATTTATTTAAGATACTTATACGGGCAAAGCCCTTAATACAAAAAACGGTTATAAAAATAAGTAAGTACTGTCACAAATTAGTTTATCAATAAGACTTGTTTTCGCAAATTATTAGTAAATATGTTCTCGTTTTGCTCAAAGACATCAATTCTATCACAATATTCATTCATCTCAGCAGCCATTCTAGAAATAGCTGAGTTTTTACCATAGTTAGTTCTATGGGGTGGTACACGAATTAAATTGTAAGAACGTAAATTTACAGGTGGAGCAAATAAGTTCACCTTCGATTTATTAATTTTATTAAAAATAATGAATTTATTGAAAAATTTTAGTAAAGAACATTTTTAAAAATTGAATTTTGGAGAAGTTACAAATGATTGCAGAAATTCAATTATTTTCAAAAGTAATAAAATTCTTCTTACAAAGTTCAATTATGTTCAAAATTTAGAAAAAAATCTCGTCAAAATCACAATTATATTTATAAATAACAAGATTCTTCTCCAAAATTCAATTATTTTCAAAAATTTTCTTCATTTCAATGATTTTAAATATCTACTGTTTTAATAAATTTCCCAAAAGTATTCAATTATTTAAAAAAAATTTTAATAAAATTTATTGTACTCAAACATTTAATTACATATTTTCATAAATTATAAAAATTTCACAGGAATTCAATTATTAACAAATTTTTTATAAATTTCTTCGCAATAATTCAATTAATTTCATAAATAATAGGTACATTTTTTTATGAATTCAATTATTTTTATGAATAATAAATTTGTTTTGAAAATGAAATTATGTATTTTCAGAAATAATAAAGCTTATCGCAGAATTTTAATTATTTTTAGTACAATATTAATCAAATTCCTCAGAAAAATGTAATTATTTTTACGATATTGATTAAAATTCGTCAAAAGACTTCAATTATTTAAAAATTTGTTGATAAAATTCTTTATAAGAATTAAAATTTAAAAATCATTCAATAGATTATTTCCTTTGTATTTAAATAATTGGATAATTTCTAAAAGGTTTCAAATTAAAATATTCGAGGTATTCGATAATTTGAATTTTTCTATATTTTTAACTGTCAATTCTGAAGAATAAATTTTTTGAAAAAGTATAATTTAATTTTTTTAAAACTAGGTATTTGAAGTTTCTATTTTCTAATATATATATTTAATTGAGGGTCAGAATTCGTGAAATTTTTACAGAAAATAAAAAGTATTTTTTTTAAATCGAAATGTTAAAAAAACATTTCTATTTGGCCTTAAGAATGTGTCAACCAAAAAACAGAAAAAAAATTATTTTTTATAAAAGTTATTGCAAAATTAATTTTTTAGCAACTTTTTAAACAAAATTTTATTTCTCCTAAATGAATGAACTGATTTAAATGAACCAAGCGGAAATATCAAGGGGATAAAATATACTTCCGTTTAGAATTAGAAAATTTTTAAAAAGTTTATTTTTTAATAATTATTTAACAAATTTTTTATAAACAATTAATTTTTTTTAATGTTCTACGCCTCTTAAAAATTTGAAAAAAAACATTAACATACACTTAAAACTATAAGAAATCAAAATCCGTTGAGAAAATTTTGGAGCGACAATTATTTTAAAAGTTATAAACAAATTGAAGCGTTTTGTGCAGAAACCGCATAAGTCCATTTTATCGAAAATCACTTTTTTATTGAAAATTTATCTTTAAATGAAGCTTTTCAATCTGATAAAATATTACATAAGTGACAAAACTCTAAACCCTTAAAAAAAATAATTAAAATATCATTTTGTGCAGAAACAGCACAAGTCCATGATAAGTTTTATATTTATTTGTGATATTCTTGACGTATTTTAATAATTTATATTAAACAGTTTATATTATAAATAAAAACACTCATGGGAAGCAAAAAGTGACAGTGGTGACTGAATTATTTTAAAATTAGAAAATATTGAAAATTGGTTAAATTTATTCTTAAAACAATTTTATTATTTATAAAATGTTACTAAAAATTATCCAAATTTCATATTTTAAATAAATGTTATTAAATTTTTCATAAAACTTTGATATTTCACTAGATTTAATAAATGTTCTGTGTTTTTCATTTCATTTTGTGCAGAAACAGCATAAGTCCAAATGTTAATTTATTTTTTAATTTTTTATATTAAGTAGATAATTAATTAATCATATTGGATTTTTTAACTTAGTAGAATTAGAAAGAATTAGATTAATTAATTAGTTAGTAGAATATAATGCAAAAAGCCAAATTAAAAAAAATCTTAACATTTACGAGAAAAACAGTTTTTATTGATTCCTGAACAATTTCGAATTATGGACTTATGCTGTTTCTGCACAAAACGCTTCAATTATATTGAACGGAGATGCGATTTTGATGATTTTCAGAATTAAAACATTATTTTTAACTACGAAATGAACAAAACACTGTCAAATTAACATTTTTATTCAATTATATTACCATAAAAGTTGATAAAAATGATCAAAAACTAAGTTCAGCGTTGATGCACAACACCGCGCCAATATAATTTGTTTATAACTTTTAAAATAATTGTCGCTCCAAAATTTTCTCAACGGATTTTGATTTCTTATAGTTTTAAGTGTATGTTAATATTTTTTTCAAATTTTTAAAAGGCGTAGAACATTAAAAAAAATTAATTGTTTACAAAAAATTTATTAAATAATTATTAAAAAATAAACTTTTTAAAAATTTTATAATTCTAAACAAAAGTATATTTTATCCCCTTTATATTCCCGCTTGGTTCATTTAAATCGGTTCATTCATTTAGGAGAAATAAAATTTTGTTTAAAAAGTTGCAAAAAAATTAATTTTGCAATAACTTTTATAAAAAATAATTTTTTTTTCTGTTTTTTGGTGGACACATTCTTAAGGCCAAATAGAAATGTTTTTTTAACATTTCGATATAAAAAAAATACTTTTTATTTTCTGTGAAAATTTCACGAATTCTGACCCTTGAAGAATTTCCTTATAATCGAAATTTCGTAAAATTGAATTTTAAACAAATGTATTTGAAAATTCTCAAAGAACTTTTTCAAAAATTATTAAAAGTAGTTGATTTATAGAAGAATTTTAGTTAAAAATTCTTGAAAATAATAATTGAATTGAAATGATGATGAAAATAATTTTGAAGAAGATACAGTAACAATATTCTTAATATAAAATAATTATAATACTTTTATAAGTTGTTTAATTTCAAAAAGATTTGAATTTGAAATTTTTGAAAATCTTAATTCCTGTGGAAAAATAATAATAATAAAATATTTATTTAAAAAAGAAGTTATTGATGTCTTCGAATAATTTTACAATTAAAGAAATTCGTAAATAAATGTAACAGAACATTTTTTTGAGTACAAATTTTTCCTTTATTTTCTAAAAATTTAAAAATATTAAGAAACGGGAACATGTAACGTTTTTGTCCCCCAAAGAAAAGAATGAGTTTGTGAACAATATTGTTATTAGGAAATAAAAATGATGCATAAAATAGGTAGGGGAGAGTCTCCAGTTGTGAGACGGGTTTCATTTTTGACCCGTAAATTGTAAACGGGCAAACGAAATTGTAAATAAAATACACCGTTCGAAAGGTAACAGAAATACGCAACTTTTATTAAAAGAAAGTATAGTGTTTCGATGAACTCAAAAAATTTTACGATACATTTTCCGAGCACATCGCTTTTGTCAAAAAAAAATGTCTCCAGTTGTGAGACACTCATTAAAAATTGCTAAAATTTAATAAGTTTGACATAAAACGTTATGTTTAGTAGAAATAATTAAATATATTAATAATATATATTATTATATACTAAATAATAATATTTATTCGCCAAAATATGACTATCAAAAAAACACAATTTAATAGCTTCAACAAGAGCATTAAAATTGATTTCTTCTGAATCAATTGACTTTTTTCCACTTGACATGCCCAAAAATACTAGAAAAAAGAATCAAAACAACATTTAAATAGTATGCCTGCAAAGTAGTATTTTTTATGCTGCCCAGATGGGTGTTGACACCGTCTCACAACTGGTGATATGCTGTGTCTCACACCCAGAAATTGGCGCTATTTTGAAAAAGGAAAATTAAATTATTTTCAACCGTAGATTGGAACAATGCAATGTTGCATCACAAAATATAAGGAAAACACTAAAAGAAAATGCATTACATTTACCTTTTCCAATTAATTAACTTGGAAAAAAAGTACTTTGCATTTATTGAAAAAACGCTTTTTAGTCGATTATCACACACAGTGTTGGTATTTAACAAAAACAGTTTATATATCCGCCTCGGTGTACACGAAATAGTTGGCTCATATAAAAAGAAATGTTTTTATATAAACCAATCGGCTTTTTAATATTGCATGTTAAAAAAAATTGACTGTCTCACAACTGGAGGTGTCTCACAACTGGAGACTCTCCCCTATATTTCCTACTTCTTAATAAAATTATTTTAACAATTATAAAGATTTTCTATTTTTTATAAATAAAAAGAAGAAAACATTGTATAATTTAGAGCAGTATCAGTAGTATATTTGATTATTATTATTTTATGACGGAATTAAATAATTTGAGTAAAACTAAAAAATAAATAATTATAGATATAGGTAGTAAATAGTTTATTTAACTTTACCTGTGAAGGGTTAATAAAATCATCTAGATTTGTTAACTGCAAAGCTCCACTAAACCTTGATGTCATAATAAACAAACCTTTCCTTTCGATCGTTTTAATAAAAAAGTGTTTATATCAGACCATGTGGACAAGAACTTTTTGTATTGATACTTTGCCTTGTGACGTTGTCACACGTTCTCTGAAGTGACAGAAAAATCTTCCAATTTTACACACAATATTTTACACCTTCTGCTTATTGTCATTTTTAATAAATATGTACGATTGATGTAATTTATAATAATAAGTATTTTAAGAAGGCAAATTTTACTTATTTAAAAGGATTTACTTTAATTATTTTTAAAATAGTAATACTAACCTAAAATTTTATTTTCCTATTATTCTTTATATATTAAACTTTGTTATAAAAGCTAATAAACAGTTTTAAATAATATTACTCAAGAAATTATAACTATATCAATAATTAACTCGTTTCAATATTTTTTAAAGAAAAAAGAGTAAAATACTGAATTTGTTGTCTGTAAAAGATTAGGCTGAATAATTTGAAATGATTTTATTTTTTAATTTAGAGGCACAATTTTTTAAAACATAATACATATAATAAACAGGTTTGTTTATAAGCAAAGTAATGTCAACTCATGGTTTAAAACGTAAAGCAAAGCAGAATTTTTTTTATGGATAAAAGAAGGATAGTTGAGATGAGATAGAAAAGGACAGAAATATAACTCTGTCCTTTTCTAACGCATGCTTTGATTTCGCGAACAGTTGTGTTTAGGCCTTTATGAATTTCTGAATTCTAACCTATTCTCGTAGTCAAGAAGCCGGAAAGTTGTTATAATTTAATTGCTGAAAAAATAACTGCTCCAAAAATAATACTATTAAGTACTTAGGTTGTAACTTTGTATTATTATTAAAATACTGTAAACGAATCTATTTTTTTAAATAACTATGGAAGTGTAAGTATAAATAGCACTTAAACACTAAGATAAATAGAAATTTTATAAAATAAGGATATTTTCATTCAGAAATACCTCAAAAGCAATAATTTTATACATATGGACAACTAAATTTAAAATGTCATTTTCGGTCACTACAATTGTTGATTTTGCAATGTCAATTTCAATAACTTTTTACTTGGTTTTTGTTAGAAATATTAGTACTTGATACGATGAATCAGTTCCAAAATATTTTACATTAATTTATTAAATAGATAAACAATTATTTTAATTTGAATACGACTATAAAACTTTGCAATGAATAACAATTACTAATTCTAAGACGCATGTTTTTAAAGTTAATTAAACAATTGACACTTTTCCGTACGAAAATTAATATTTTCTTAATTGCGAAAAAAGTTATAAGCTTTTAAAAGTTGCCTCTAAAAATAAAAAATTGTTTTCTTATTGAAAAATTAAAGGTTCGACATATGGGGCATTCCACGCCAAATCGGAAATTATTTTGCTTTTGCATCTCAAATTTTTTTAAACATTTTTTTTCTTTTAGTACTCTTTGAAATGATTTATACCTTGATTTTTTTCGAATTTTTTCATAAAGCGGTTCAGGAGATACAGATTTTTGAAAAATGACATTTTTTACGTAAAGTTTTTTTTAAATGCTATTATAACTCGGTCAAAAATTGATCAAATTGGACGTTTTTATAATGAAAAGTTTTGTTTTCACGCGTAGTTTTTAATAAAAATATTTTAAAAAATTTTTTAAATAATTTACGATAAGATTTTAAAATATTTAAAATAAAATTTTATTTTTAACAATGTATGTATCGATAAATTTTTTTCAAAATTTTTTGTAAGAAACTAGCACTAAATTAACAATTTTTAAGCCTTGTCCGATTGTGGGCAAACGATGGGATTTATTTATTTTAAAAATTTTAATTTTTATATACGCAGTGGTGGCTAAATGACTAACTTGCCATTTGACAAAATCACACAAAATTTTCTTAAAAAATGTGTTTTCAGACTAAGTCTCTACAAACATAACCTTCTTTCTGTGTAAAATTGAGATTTGGTCAAATGACAAGCTTGGCCTACCGTTTTCACTGTGTATATAAAAATTAAAAATTTTTAAATAAATAGATCCCATCGTTTGCCCACGATCGGACAAGGCTTAAAAATTGTTAATTTAGTGCTAGTTTCTTACAAAAAATTTTGAAAAAAATTAATCGATACATACATTGTTAAAAATGAAATTTTATTTTAAAAATTTTAAAATCTTATTGTAAATTATTTAAAAAATTTTTAAAAATATTTTTATTAAAAACTACGCGTAAAAACAAAACTTTTCATTATAAAAACGTCCAATTCGATCAATTTTGACCGAGTTTAAAAAAATTAAAAAAAAATTTACGTAAAAAACGTTATTTTTCAAAAATCTGTGTCTCCTGAACTGCTTTATGAAAAAAATTTGAAAAAAATCAAGGTAGCTCATTTCAAAGAGTACTAAAAGAAAAAAAATGTTTAAAAAAAATTTGAGATGCAAAAGCAAAATAATTTCCGATTTGGCGTGGAATGCCCCATATATATGACCATATATTTGATTTTTAAAAATTATTTTTCAGTTATAAAAGTACCATTAAAATTTCTAAGTGACTATTTGGCCCGTCACAACTCGACATTATTTTTATTTACCTGTTCTTCAGTTAATACAGTTAATAATGAAACTAATTATAAAAGAACTGATAGTAAGTGCTTTAACATGTTTAGCTTTTGATACACAACCGGTCAAAATTGAGACCACCTATTTTCAGGTGAATGAAAAACATTTTAAAACTTACAATTTAAGGAAACTAAAATTTTTTTCTTTTTATTTTTTTTGATGATAAAATTTTAAAAAGAACAAGATCTTTCAGAAGTCATTTGACCATATTTTATTTAGATATTTTTAAAAAATCATTACAAAAATTTAAATAACTTCTAAAATAATAACCACTTTTTAATAATCTTAGGCTTATTTTAAAGGTCATTTTCTACAGTATGAGAATTATTTATGTAATTTTTTTCTTAGAAAATGCAGTTCGTCAAAGTTGAATAAAAAATATTCAAGTTTGAAATAATTTTTTTGTACTAAAAACTATTCTAGAAAATATATAAAACGTGATATGGTGTAGATTTTTTAATAGAATTTAATAAAAGATTAGGAATTGAATTGAATTTTAAAAATGATTTTTCTGTTAATAAGATTGTTCCAAATTTTTTGAATTTTTTGGTCCAAGTTTGACGATCTGCATTTTCTAAGAAAAACATTACAAGATAATGCTTATGAGTAATTCTTCTTCTGTAGAAAATGACCTTTAAAATAAGCCTAAGATCATTATAAAGCGTTAATTATTTAAAAGTTATTTAAATTTTTGTAAAACATTGAAAATGAAGATTTTTTTAAAATATCGAAATAAAATATTGGCCAAATGACTTCTAAAAGATCTTGTGTACTTTTCAAATCTTATCATCTTTCAAAAAATTTTAGTTTTCATAAATTTTAAGTTTTAAAATGTTTTTCATTCATCTCTCAATTTTGACTAGTATTGTATCATGAATTAATTTCTTTTTACTTAAAACCCTTTAACTGTTTGAGGAAAAAAAAACATGATTGTCCCAAAATGCCCAGCGGAATCTGATACTTTTTCAAATAGTATAATATATTTAAATTATAACTAATTATTTAATTATTGTAAAAAATATCATTAATGACCCTTATAATGTCTTATAATATTGATATAAAGATATAAAGAAAAATATCTATCAATTTATATACAAATTATATTTATTTTGAATGAAAATGAACACGACCCACCCGTGTGTCGGAAACAGGCAAAGAGTTAAAAAATGTAAATAATGTTTTTTGTGTTATTTACAATTTAATTAACCTTAAAACATTTATGCGTAAAAACGGTAAAAAAATGAGTTGTAAACGCATCCCAAAAATTGTCTTCATTAGCGGACATTTTAAATAAAAATTCTTCCCTTTTTTAGATCAAAAAATTATTTGTTCAATTTATTGTGAAGTAATTAAATATAAAAACTTTTTTCGTATAATATTTATTATATTTAATTCGTCGCCTTTCAATATCACATTATAATTAGTATAATAATTTCTTTCAAATAACAGTTTCCAAGAATCCATAACACTGAATATTATATTTATTATGTTATATAATATCATTATTCTTGTTTTATAATAATATTTAATATTATATATTTTTTTTTAAATAAAATATTTATTGTTTTTTTAATGAACATTTTAAAGCAAAATATTATCCAATATAATATTACAACTAGAAAAAAACTATTCAATTGCCGCCAGCCTTACGTGCATAACAGAACCAGTAGATGGTTTTAGTAGATTTCACCAAATTTTTAGTGAAACCATTCCAAACAGGAGTCACACCTGAAGCAAATAATTCTAAATCCTTTTGGCATGTTTGACAATTCCATTTATTATTTCTCTTTTTTATTTGTTGTAATTCCCCCACCTGAGCCATGTTTCATCGCTTAAATAAGACTTAATTAAAGATAAATTTACATCGTCATCTATAATTGCTCCACTTATTAATTTTGGTTTCATTTCTATTTCGCATTCTTTAATTTTATATCCTCTTAAAGCTTTTTCCACTAAGGAATCATCGACGAAACACTTCGTATTTTAACGTCTAATGTTTCCTTGATGAAAGGAGTTGCTTTACCTTTATCTTCTTTTGTTTTTGATATCTTTTTTGGAAGACCCATGGTCGTTGAGGTGAAGGAGTTTTTTGATCTTCCACGAATTTTTTGTTTAGGAGGTTCATCATCAGCTTAAGGAACTAGTTTTGAGACATCTTTCTCCTGAATTACATTGCAATTACTATCGAAAATAACTATCAGAAATGCAAGTGCATTTCTGATGATAACACCTCATCAGCTGCTAAGGTGTCAATCGTTAGAACATATTCTTCTGATGGAATATTCTCTTCTGAATAGTCTCCTGGAAAAACGTTGTGTTCCGTAAAATGATCTGTGTCCGAAAAATCGACTTCATCTTCCGTGAAAACTTCTGAACATACGTTTCTTCTTTCGTCTTTACTTGTAGAAGCTTCTTCCTCCACAAATGTCTCTCGTGTCTGATTTTCTAATACGAGAGGTAGAAACAATGGTAATTGTTTTACTATTTGTGATTTCTAATTTCTCTGTAGTTATCTCTCTGTTGAAAGTTCTTTGGGTGTGGCAGAGGCAAATAATGACTTTTGCATCCGGGAAAGATTGTCTAACGACGTTAAAATCTTTCAAATTAAAATTCACTCAGTTAAATCTTTATCAGCCTTCACTGTTTTAATTTTTGACCTCGGCGGATGTTTCTCTTTAAGAGTCCATAAACCAGTGTATGTTTTCTTTGATCTCGTGCATCAAAATACAGTTTGCCACAATACACGGAAAAAATAAATTTAGCAGATTTTACAAAACTTACGGAGTAGCGGATACAGCTTTTTACGAAACTGAGTTTTATAAAATGTAAGGAATATTTCAGGATGAAGTACAGAACTTTCGCAGTTTATACTGAATATTTTTGAAGTTTATCCTGAAATATTCCTTACATTTTACAAAACTCAATTTCGTAAAAAGCTGTATCCGCTACTCCGTAACAGTTTCGTAAAATCTGCTAAATTTATTTTTTCCGTGTATCAGTTTGACCTGGAGAATTTTCCACTACCACAAGGTGCTCTCAAATCGAGGAGTTTATAGATTGCATCTATTCCGATAAATTCAGGAAAGGCTAGCATGACATTTTTCATTTGCCCCATGACAAAAAAAATGCCTTCAAACTTTCAAAGACTTTATATCTTACTAAAACCTCATAGTCAGCTCCTGGATTTAAAAATCTAAGTATTAAAATATTGTTTTTAACTTGGATGTGCATTTTTTACAATGTATTTATACTGCTGTCCCAACAATCATTACATTTCGGATAAGTAACCTAATCGCCACTATCTCAATGGCAAATAGCTGACTTATTTGAAATGCAGATACGGTTATTTCTATCGGGACAGCAGTATAATGCATGTATAGAAAATAATTAAGAAATTACATAATCTTATCAAAAAAATTCAATATGGCGTAACTTTCACAATTCTAAAAATTTTAAAAAATCCTTTGGTATATTTATTTTTCTTATATAGACTAAGAGCCTGCAACGTATGAACTTACGTCATTTTCTTAAGCTTAAAATCATTGGAAAGAGCATGAAAAAACCTTTCAGAAACATATTCTACAAAATGTTTCCCATTACAAGTATGTACAGAAGAAATTGAAAAAGTAGAAGGTGTTTAGCAAAATTGGTAAAATTGATCCCCCTTTACCCCCTCAAATTTTTCGAAACAGTCAAAAACGTTTTTTGGGTCATAGGCGCATGATTATTCCCCAAATGTCATTTGACCGAACTGTCATTTTATCGAATTGCATTTATCCGAATCGACATTTTTACGAATTGACACTTTTGCGAAAAGTCATTTTTGCGAAATATCATTTTTTCGAATTGTCATTTATGCGAACTGCCATTTTTTCGAATTGTCATTTTTACGAAATGTCACTGTTGCGAATTGTCATTTTTGCGAAAATTGCTGTAGTAAACTTGTATGCTTATATAGAGTTACTACATCAATTTTCGCAAAAATGACAATTCGTAACAGTGACATTTCGTAAAAATGACAATTCGAAAAAATGAATTTTCGCAAAAGTGACATTTCGTAAAAATGTCGATTCGAAAAAATGACATTTCGTTAAAATGACAATTCGAAAAAATGGCAGTTCGCATAAATGACAATTCGAAAAAATAACTTTTCGCAAAAGTGACAATTCGTAAAAATGTCGATTTACAAAAATGATATTTCGTAAAAATGACAATTCGAAAAAATGACATTTCGGAACAATAACGATTTGTAAAAATGACAATTCGTAAAAATGATATTTCGCAAAAATGACTTTTCGCCAAAGTGTCAATTCGTAAAAATGGCAATTCAAATAAATGCAATTCGGTAAAATGACAGTTCGGTCAAATGACATTTGTGGAATAATCATGCGCCTCGGACATTTCACGTAAAATGACTCTTATATAAAAAATTTAAAGAGAAAATTATTCCAATAAAAAATTATTATTTAATATAAACTATATTACTTGTGACGCGTTTCCAAGAAAAATACCTAAGCAAAAAATTTTAGGCTATGTTTATAATTTTTGGAGTAAAAATACAGAAAAAGAATCGATTACTACTAAAAATTCTTAATGATCAAGTCTTCATTACATTCAAAATGTTCAATAAAAACTAGTTTCAAATTTACATAATTAAAAATTAAATTTTTATAAAGATAAATCTAATACGAACATAACCTAGAATTCTTTTGCTTCGTATAGGTTCCCTTCTTGGGAGATGATCACATAAATATATATAATATGTAATGTATTAAGGAGGTTGTTTACAGGTATGCAGACCTTCAGAAAAAATATTGAATTGACATTAAAGAATTTTTTAACATTATTGTTATTCGTATCTTCTGGAAGAACAAATATAAATTTTCAAGAAAGAAATTTGAAACTTACAAGAATTGTTTATTTAGTCATTTTGCATATGATCAGTTTTCTTCATATTAAAAGGTTAAACTTTTACAAAACTGATTCGATTTTAGCTGATGGCTTATTTTCTTCAGAAAATGATTCTCTATAACTTGACCGCTCAGAATTACAAAGAAATACACCGTTTTGAAAATATGCTTATTTGTTTACAAAAAGTGATTTATTTAAAAAAAATTTTTGTAAACAAATAAGCATATTTTCAAAACGGTGTATTTTTTATAAATCTGAGCGGTCAAGTTATAGAGAATCATTTTCTGAAGAAAATAAGCCATCATTGACTTAAATCGAATCAGTTTTGTAAAAGTTTAACCTTTTAATATGAAGAAAACTGATCATATGCAAAATGACTAAATAAACAATTCTTGTAAGTTTCAAATTTCTTTCTTGAAAATTTATATTTGTTCTTCCAGAAGATACGATTAACAATAATATTACAAAATTCTTTAATGTCAAATCAATATTTTTTCTGAAGGTCTGCGTACCTGTAAACAACCTCCTTAAACATATTTAACCAAAATTTTTCCAGGTTAAAAGAATGCACAGCTTATCTTAGTAACCATGAAGTTTTAAACATATTGCAAGGAATGAAATCAAGTAAAAAGCAAAATTCAGAACAACAGTTAGCTACCATTACTTATCAGACTGTGAAATATCTGGAAAATATACCATCCAGTAAACAATCTCCAGAAAAGATTCGTAGCTTTTTAAAAGCTGTCGAGTCATTTAAATTAACAAAATGTGAAAAATTGACGTTACTGAATTTGTGTCCAAAAACTGCTCTCGAGATTCAACTGGTAAATAGAAAATTTTTCTTATATATTGTATAGCATGTGTGTTTAATGGTTAATTGGTTATAGTTATTGCAAAACATAATAACAGGGTAATAATTTCACATTTTAAAAATGTGTTAAATTAATAGGTAAAATAACTTTTTACACGAATACATTCGGACAAGTGGTTTTTAATGTATAAAATGCTCCAACGTTTCGAAATCAAAACGATTTCCTCATCAGGGAGTCTACAAAATAATACAAAAAACAAAAATATAAAATGAAAATACGAAGACATTAAATAATAATTTATAAACATTAAAACAATAAAAATAAAAAACAAAAAAGAAATACACGAAGACTTAAAATGATAATTTAACAGAACATAAATAAATAAAACAAAATTGATAAATAGAACAAAAATTAACAAAAAATAAAACAATAATTAAAATGAACATAAAAGTCACTATAAAGAAAACAATAAAAATATCTTACCAATAAAATGTTTTACATAACATATCAAAAGAATTAAAGGATTTTCAATCGGAAAATTGGAATGTAACATTTGGAGTTATTAACTGAAATTTATAGAAAATATTAATTAATAAAAATGTTAATGTTAATGGGAATTTAAGTTAATTAATAAATAAAAAAAAATTAAAAAAAATTAAAAATGTGAAATTTTAGAGGTTTGTTGTCTAGTTTTATATTTAATAAATTGAATTGTTTTATAAAATCGATTCTGTAGATTTCAAGAAAAGTGTCTCCTAGTTTTCAAAAATGTGTTTTTCGAGAAAAAAGCGTTTAAAGTTTTGGTAAAGTATCGCAGTGAATTAAGAAACGGTCATAAAAATTGCTACAACTTTTTTTTTCTTTTGTATATTTCTTAAAAAATGTTTAAGAACTGTAGTTTTATGATACTAAAGAACATTTTAAAGTAAAAAAAGAAAAATCGATTTTTTGAAATCTTTGACCAAAAAGTTGCGATTTTGATGATTTTTCAAAATTTTCGGTCTCCATATTGGATCCGACATTTTGAATTTTCTATATCTGACCTCAAATTCATTATCAGTGACCTCAAAAACACCCGAGTAACAAGTTTTAAGCGATTTCAAGTAAATTTTAAAAATACGTTTCAACCTTCTTTTTATAATTTTAGAGGTTTTTTTTAGCAATAAAAGGGGTAGTTTTAACCATTAAATCATCTCCTTTGCCGACAACAAAAAATACGTATCATTTTTTTCCGAGTTCATGGTAAACCTAGAATTGTTAAATTATTAAGAATAAATATTGTTTTTAATTAATAGAATTTGTAGTTTTTCTTTAAATATTTTTTGAAAAATGACTATTATATAATGATTCATTAAAATACCAATTAGAAAAAAAGAAAATCTAGTTGAACAACAGACAGTTTTTTGTTGAGTAATGAGAAGGCCTATCCGTATCTAGGCCTTCTCATTACTCAACAAATTAATTAATACGGCCAAACAAAAACAAAAATTACAAATAGACAGTTTTGTTTCACAAAATATTATTTTCCGAAAATTCCAAAGAATTGAACATTGAGGAATAATGCGTATGCCTTTTTGTTTTAAAAACAAAGATGTTAACCACTTCACTGGCGGGGCGTTCCAAATGGCGTTCCACGCGCCGAGGCCCAGACTGGCAAAAACACCGAAATGGCGTTCCTAATAAAACATTATTTTTAAAGAGTGTACACTACTCTTAACTTATACAAAGCAATATTTCTATAGTTTAGACATCATGGAACAAGATTATCACAATAAAAATTTCAGTTTTTGGGATTTTCAATGTTTTTTCAAACAATGAAATAGTCAATTTTTACCACTTTTCACCAAATGGCGTTCCACTTTTTTTCAATTTTTACACAGTAAAACTCATATTTTTTATTTAAAAAATATATTTACATACAAAACATTATAATATAATAATGTAATAAGTAAAAAATAAATATAAATAATTAATAAATAAAATTTAATAATTATTAATAATAACAAAAGTGGAACGCCATTTGTTAAAAAGTGTTAAAAATCGACTATTTCAACGTTCAAAGAAACATTAAAAATCTCAAAAACTGAAATTTTCATTGTGATAATCTTGTTCCCTGATGTCTAAACTATAGAAATATTGCTTTGTAGTAGTAAAAAGTAGTGTACACTCTTTAAAAATAAAGTTTTATTAGGAACGCCATTTCGGTGTTTTTGCCAGTCTGGGCCTCGGCGCGTGGAACGCCATTTGGAACGCCCCGCCAGTGAAGTGGTTAATTATATAGAAATTGTAAAACTTTAAATATTTTTTCTTTTGCTTTCAAGATTGTGGAAGACAGTGAAGATCGCCTATCGGAAGAAGATGTTGCATCATTATTACAAGTGATTGTGGATAATTTAGAAGAAAAAGAGGAACAACCCAGTTGAAGTAATATTTAGAAAAAATAAATCAATTATAATTGTTTTGAGTTAACTCACTGTTAGCAGAAATCTTCGTTGAGGAAACTTGTTGCAGAATTTTACTTTATAACTGTATTTTTATGTTATAACGAGAGTGAATTTAGTAGAAAAATTGTAAACACATCGTTGGTTTAATTGTTAAACATAGACTTACAGCATCGTTTATAATGTTAATATAGAGATAAAAATAGATAAGTGAATAAGAAAGTTTATTACAAATATAATTGATAAGTTTTTCTACATGGAAAAAAGATTTTCAATAAAAAATATGTTTTTCAAATAAAAAAGTTTCTTTCAATATTCTATAAAACTCTTAAACTTTGATAATTTAAAACAAAAAAGAAAGAACTGAAATTTTTGTTTATTTTTACAAACTAAGTTCTTTAAAGTAAAAACGTTGTGAACATATTTAAAAAAATATAGATATAATTAAAACATCACAAGAATAAGGAAAAAATTATCTTTAATCAATGCATATTAAATGTATGTATTAAGATAAAATTCTGTACATAATTAGAGTCTAAAAGTACATTTTTAGAGTTCAGGACACAAAAGTAAAAAATATTCAAAATTGTGAATTTTGTAGTTTCTGCAATTTCTTTACAGAAAATTTCAGTCACCTATTATCTCTTTTGGTCTCCTAAATCATCTATTGAATCTTCATCAATCTGAAATTAAATATTTACATTTAAATTATTATTATCGAAGCAATATTCTTGATAATAATACTAAAACGAAAATTGTTTCAAACCTGAGGCCATTTTTCGGGAATCACATCAAACAGATCGTCTTTTACATCACCTTGAATTACGATTTCATCCTCACCAGTGACACTAGATCCACACGCAAATTTACTTCCGAAAAACTTAGCAGCTACTTTTAAATCAATATCTGAAAAAATAGATTCAATATGAAGAAGATGAAATAATTACAAGACTAATAGAAAAAAATGATATTTTAAGCCGTCCTACCAAAAGTGCTTAATCCTGTCACTACTGTAACAGACTTTTTCTTTCCTCTAGGTGCTCTGGACACGGTTACCAACTTAGGGATATCTTCCTTCTTTTTTGTTTTTAGCATTCCCTTGCCGCCTCGTTTCTGTCGCTTTTTCTCATCTTCTCCACCCCCTCCTCCTCCTCCACCAGCCTCTGTACTTCCATCTTCTGCTGATTATTATACAAACAAGATATATAACAAACTTCTAAATCAGAAATAACAATATTTATTTAATTTTAGCTGATCCGTTTGGCAAAGCCTGACCCTACATTTTTTTTAAATTTGTACTATCAATTTTTTTATATTTATGAAAATATATAGTTCACAACAAACTAAAAAAACACTTTTAACCATTTTTCGAAATTTAACATTTTTATAACTTTTTTTACAATAACATATTTTTGCATCATTTAAAAAAAATCTGTATAATGCAATAATAATCTGTAATAATTAACTAAATGACGCATTTGTTAGATAAAGTTTCATTAAATTAATAAAAATTAATAAAATGCTTGCTCTAGAAAGCTTCAAAAGTACACATTGTTTATAAAATTGTTATTAAAAGTTAAAAATTTTTAATTTCGAAAAATGGTTAAAAGAGTTTCTTTAGTTCGTTTTGAACTATGGATTTTCATAAATGTTTTTACTTTTACAGAAATTAGAGATGTGCAAAAAGCTCGAAAAGTCGAGCCGAGCCGAGCCGAAATTTTTTTGGGCCGAGCCGAGCCGAGCCCGAGCCGGCTCGATGTATCGAGTACTCGAAATTTTCGAGTACTCGAGTGACTTCGAGTACTCGAAAAATTCGAGTACTCGGGTAAATTCGAGTACTCGATTAAATTCGAGCACTCGAGTGAATTCGAGTACTCGAATTTTTCGAGTACTCGAATGGATTCGAGCTTTTGACTTACTAAAAAAACTATTAATAAGTAAAAAATTTCGAATTTTTTTGAATTACTGAATCAATATTTCTATTTGCTAAATATAATAAATGCGAAAATTCTATGAATTTTCTCTAGAACTCGAATTTACTCAGAGCTCGAAAAAATTCGAGTACTCGAATTCCCTCGAGTGCTCGAAAAATTCGAGTACTCGAATTAACTCGAGTACTCGAAACTATTCGAGCTTTTTACACAGCTCGGCTCGGCTCGAACTCGGCTCGAGCTCGAACTGATTAGGCTCGGCTCGGCTCGGCCCGAAAAATGAAAAGCTCGAAAAAGCTCGCTCGAGCCTCGAGCCTCGAGCTTTTTGCACAACTCTAACAGAAATCTTTAAAAATTTTATTCAAAGTTGACGTGGTTTTTTTTGTGTTTTAAAATAAATATATTATTTTAGTCATTTGAATATGAATCATCTTACCGAGCTTAACTTTTTCGAATTCTGATGGTAAATTTCTTTCAAGCCACTGTTTGCATTTTTCGTATTCTGGATAGTACTCGCAGTACTGAAATTTAACAAATTGTTAAAATTATCATTAAGTATATTTAATTTCAATCAATCAAACTTCAAAATAAAATAATTTATAACTATAAAGGGATCACAGAACCTTCTTTCCTTACAAAAAATGAAATTGGAGGTCAAAATGACGACACAAAAATGTTGCTTAATGTTAATTAAATTAATATATAAAATAATATGAAAAATCTTAATCTGCAAACCTTGTATCTCAATTCTATGCAACTTTATAGGATATCAAGAAAACGGCTGACTCTTGGATATGAAAAAATACTTTACGGAGTTTTGGAAATACTCTACGATTTTAGCAGAAATTCGTAGCGGATTTTAAAAATATTTATTTTTGTGTAATTGGCAAGCACTTGAACAAAAAAACTCATTTTTCGACCCAAAAAACGACACTTTATTGTTTATAACAATTGTTTAAATATATAGTAAAAACTCCGATTCAAAATATTAAAAAAAATATTAATATTCCAAAATGGCGGCACTGGAGCCATTTTTGTAATACATGTTTTATGCAAGGTAAAATTCTCCAGTAAAAAGCTTGATATTTCAATGAAATCGATTTCGGACATGTATAAAACCTTTTGTTCCTTATTCTAGAAAGTTCAAAGAATTTTTCAAGCCAATAAAAAAATTAATTTTTTCTGAAATGTTTACAATTACAATGTTTACCCTTAAAAATTATTAATTTGATTTATTGTTTCTAAAGTTGATTGCTAATAATTTTAATTAACAAATTATTAATTATTATGTAATTATTGTTTTTAAATTATTTAGGGCGTTGTCGGCAGTGGCGGGACAGCGGGTATAGCGAGACACTGCGATATTTCAAACAGCTGAGTTGACAGTGTTGCTTTTTTTGGTGTAAAAGTAAAGTTTTATTCTGTTGAAGCTTTTTTATATGATACACACTTTCTGGATGTAAAATCTGTCACTATAGTTTTAATACAGTTTTTTTATAGTTTTAATCTGTCAATAGTTTTAAGCAAGTTTTAAAGTTTTATTCTTCGTATGAAAAAGTGTTTATAAAATTAAACTTTTCAAAATTTGGTTAACGGCAAATATTTTAAGTAATGTCTCGCCACTACCGACGTTTTTGAATGTCGGTAGTCGCGGGACATTTTTGAAATTCGGTAATAACTTTTTTTTTGAAGACATATGCTATCTATATTATGTAAATTTGTAAAAGATAGTCTCACTAGTCTGTCTGCACAAAAGCAGACCAAATATTCATGAAAATATGAGTCCTACACAAAAAAAAACAAAGCGTGTCTCGCCACTACCGACTCTCCCCTATTATTTAATAATTAAGAACTTTTAAAATATGCATTAAATTGGAACTAATTTTTAGGATAATCCTAAGAATACATGGATTTTTCAATCAAGGATTATATATTTAACTTTTCAAATGCTGTTTTACATTTTATGGGCAGTTTAAAATGTTTTAGTCTGGAGAAAAATTAATTTTATATTATTTTTCACACGTAAAGTTATAAAGAAAATAATATTTTAAATTTAAAATGATTTAACTTTACATTGTGTGAAAGCTAGAATTAAAATTATATTGAACAATTTTTTTAAATTCACAAATATTGAAAAAAATTTGTTTTTTTACATATCGCTATTATTTTGATATTTGCAATGAATGTTGAGGATAAAAATTGTTTAACATTATTTAACAATGTTATAAACAAATTTACCTACTAATAATTTTCAATTAATTTATAAACAATTGTTGTAAAGAAATTACATTTTAACAACAATTGAATATAAAAAAAGAGTTTTTCTCCAACACTTGCTCTGAAAGGAGAACTTTTCTTGGTAGAAAAGTGTGGCGAAAGTAGAACTTTTCTCAACTGCTCTGAAGAGCGTGGCGAAAGTAAATTTGGCGTGGCAAAAGTAAGTCATGAATTTATTCTTTTTTCTTGTTCTTTGACCGAGATTTATTTTGTATCTAACTTCTTCCCCACTCAAAACATTCGCCTTTTATTATATTAAAGATAAGCAGACGTTAAATTAAAATTATACGAAACTCACGAAGAAACCTTTCCTCGCAAGGCGTTGGAGAAAACGTAGTGCACAACTCGTGGTGAAAGAATGTATTTCTCGAGCGATTGCTGCTCTCGCTACGCTCGAGCCGCAAACTTCACTCTTCGCCACTAGTTGTACAATGTACTATTTCTTTTAATATTCTTTTTTCTATAGGGTTCATATATCTTGAAACTTAAATTTAATTCTAAATATTTTTAACAAAGTTATAAACAATTCTTGTAAATAAATTATTTAGCTACAATAACTGAAGGTAAAGTGCTGGTATTGGCATTACTCTTACATAGAAATAACATAGAAAAAAGTAGCTATATTAAAAGTAAAACTATTTTTTTTATATTCAATTGTTGTTAAAATATAATTTTGTTTACAACAATTGTTTATAACTCTATTGAAAAATATTAGTAAATAAATTAAAGTTTCAAGATTCATTAATCCTATAGAAAAAAATAGTAAAGGAAAAAACGAAATTTCTACATTATTTACTTGTTGTTAATTTAAAATTTGGTTATAACAATAGTTTATAAAGTTGTTAAATAATTGTGATCAATAATTTTCACTTCAAAGATTCATTAAGAGAACAGTAAAAAAAAGTCGGTGAAAGAAGACAATATATTTTAGCTTCAGTTATTGTCAATTCTTAATTTGTTTATAAAATTGTTTATAACATTGTTAAATAAAAATATTAAACAATTTTGATCCTCAACATTCATTGCAACTATCAAAATAAGAGCGATTTGTAAACAAACAAATTTTTTTCAATATTTGTGACTTTAAAAAAATCAATTTGTTTATAAAAATTGTTTAAAATATATTAAATTAGTCACAGTGATAAAATTTTATAATGGATGTTATTTGTATACCAATTTTAGTCATTTGTGATGAGAAACTGTGTGTAGAATTTATTTTTCTGACTATTCAAAATTTTAGATATTTTGTCTGCCATTTTTGAGCCTTCATTTTGAATTTCGAAAAAATAAAAATTTCTAGCAATGCCTAAATGATAAGTCATACATTTTGAACGCGATATTTTGTCAGTCCAAAATTTTTCTGAAGCGATTTCCAATCAAAAATATAGTTTTAATGAAACAAAAACCAAAAAATTCTGTGTTTTTTTTTTGTTTAAATAATCACAACTTTTAATGCTTAAGTCAAAAGTTAAATTTTTTTGCCGATTCTGAAAGAGGACGAAAAAATACATAAGAAACATGATTTGCGAATTTTTTTAGTCCACCATCTTTGAAAATGATAAGTGCAAATATGAAGAGAAAAAAACGTACATTTGGGACTAAATGGTTTGCACATTCTTAGGGGCTGTTTCTTGAAATTAGGGTAGTTGAGGGGATAGAAACGGTTAATAATTAGACCATGTCTATACGGCCAGTTAACTGGCAGAATAAGGTGGTTTAATTATTTGGCCAGTAACTAGAAATAAGGGAAAAGCTGGCAGAATAAGATGACTAAATAATTCTGCCAGTGCACTGGCAAAATAAGATGGTTTTACTATTTGGCCATTGTATTAATAAAGCGCCCATCAGGTATAAATATCTGTTGGATGTTTGTTTGTTTATTTAACATTTTAACCAATCTTATAAAAAATTTTAAAAAAATTCCAAAACGGGTAAATCTGCTTTAAGTGTGACATGAACTAAACTTATTAAGAAATTTTTGTTAAAATTTATATTATAATTAATATTATAAAAATAATAAATATATAGGGAAAAGAGCCCCAAGATAGACATTTCGTTTAAAATTTTTGAATAAAGTAGGAGCACCTTATGCTTTTTGTTATTTTTGTTGTTAGTATAGAAGAAGTTCTTGATGCACATTTGAAGGAAAAAAAGCAATTTGTTTTTATTCTGCACACATTTCCTAAAATTTGTGTCTTACGAAGTTTTCTTATAATTTCTTCCTAAATCGGTAAAGTTATTTAAATTATAACTTTTCAATAGGCCAAAAAATACCTAATATATTGTCAGGGTGGTCACAAGTTTCAGATTATCAATTTTCCTGACAATTTACTGACATTAAAATTATATTCCCTGACAAATTTTTTTTACAGGAAAATATGAAAGTTTACGGAAAATGAGTAAAATTTATGAATTTTAATAATTTTCAAAAATAACAATTATAATCCTTTCTAAATTCAATTATTTTCTATAATTTACTACCAAACTTCATCTCTACATCAATTATTTTAAACAATTTTTCGAAAGTTCTATTAGAATTTAATTATTCAAATACAAAAAGTAAATTTTTTATAATAATTGTAATTGTCCATGTTTTTTTCTTAAGTTATTAAGGTATAATATTTTCTAAAAATTACAACAAATTTTTAATTCTTTTAATTCTTACAATTAATTTTTTAAAAATATTTTAAAATAATTTTTGAAAGATAATAGTTTTTTAATTATATACAATTGAAAATCTTCTAAAAATAATTGAAGTTTTGAAAAAAGTATCTAAATAAAAATAATCGAAATTTTGAAGAATTTTATTTATAAATATGACCATCATTTCTCAGAAATTTAAACAAAATCTAAAACAGTAAATTTTTATCAATTTTTATTTATTTTGTTCGAAAATAATTTAATCTTAAAAAATTATGATAAAACAATTCGAAGAATTAGTTTTTAATAATATTTTAATGTAATTTTTCAAAAATAATTGAATTTCTTAAAAGAATTTTTGTATAATTTAAAAAAAAACTAATTAATTTCTTATGGAATTTTAATTAAAAATTTTGAACACGTTTTTTTTCTCCAAAATGTTAAAAATAATTCTAAAATGTTATTACTTTTTGTATATATCTGAATTTTTAGAAATATGTACTTAATTGAAAATATTGAATTTTAAAAAATTAGAAGCTATTTTTCATTAATTTTCATTTTTAAATTTACATTTAAAGAATTTTCATGAAATTTATAATTCAATAATTTTCAAAATTTACAATGAAAATTCTTCAAAAGTTGATTTTCAAAAATTGTAAAAAAATACCTGAAAGAAATAATTGTTTTCAATTGTTTTAAAAAATGATTCAAGAATAATTTTTGAAAAATTTGTTATAGTTTTTTTTCGCACTATAAAATGAAAATAATTTGCATTTTATACTAAAAGATGAGGTATTTTGTTGCAGTTTTTGAAAATAAATCGAAAAATGGCTCAATTTTCTTAATTTATACCTACCAAAAAAATTTGTTTTCTGTCATTTCCCTGATTTTACTTTTTCACCTTTTGCACCCTTTTTGTTAAATTGTCTCTACATACTTCATTTATTTGGTTGTTTTTTTAATTTATCAAAATGGCAGCTTGCCCGTATATTGAAATATTAAAAACTGTTTATTTTGACTGGCCAAATAGAGTCCCTTTTTTATTTGGCCTGATTTAGATATTAATTGTATATTTTTTTAGATACACTGGCCAAATAAGAAAACTAACTTATTCTGCCAGTTCACTGGCAGAATATTTAAACCACCTTATTTTGACAGTTAACTGGCCGAATAGACACTCCGTAATAATTAATGCTCATGAACATTAGTGGCCCATGAGATAGAGAAAAGGGTTTGTTTGGAGATGATTCAATTTATAATCATTTTCTATAAATTTTTCCTTCCGAAATTCATTATTTCTATGAAAAGCCGATAAAAAGGAGCAAAATAAGAATTTAATTGAAAGAAAAATCAATAGAAATAGATTAATAAATTTTCACTACACTTATTTTTTTCTAATAAATTTTCACCAATATCAGAAGGTTTTAAATAAAAAATTGTTTAGTTTGTAACTAAAATTCAACAAGTAATAAATGTTATTTGACACTTAGTAAATTTTAAATAAGAAGTTTGACAAATTGCATAAGAAATTACTTTCATCTATAAAAATAAAATTGACAATTTAATTGTTATTTTATTTCATTTGAAACGTTCAATAAAGTACTAAATATTACCTCTATAGGAAGAGAGCAGTTTCCACAATATTGTACATGAATTGGATAACTTATACTAGGATCAGGCCCTATTTGCAAATTCGGTAATTTTTCCACCACTTCTGCTGACATACTTAATTTACTCTTATGTTTAAAAAAAATTGTATGAAAAATAAACTTTTATTGATTAGTTTAAGATGAAAATGAATTTCTATAGTATATTTACAATATTATTCTTCAACTACCATAAAAGAGGTTAGAATAAGCACTTTTTGTTGACAGAGATGGGCTACCGTATATGTTATATTTAATCCAAAATCTTTCACTTCAAGGTTGTTTAGGAACGACTGTTTGTCAATATCCGCAAAGGGGCTTTCTACAATTGTTTTTTTTCACCAGCGCAGTCGGCAGACGCAGCATCCGTCAACAATCATGTTCAACATTTTTAATTATGTAAAATTAGTCAAAAAATTAATTAGTTTTTTTAAATTATACTAAAATTTTTTTAAGAAATTCAATTATTTTTAAAAGATTTTACCAAATTTTAATTGTTTGGAAATTTTTCAAAATTGAAAAACTATTATCTTTCAAAAATTATTTTAAAATATAATTATGAATTCTAAAAGAACTTTTGGAAAATTATTTAAATCAATTGATTCAGAGATGAAGTTTAGTTGAAAATTGTAGAAAATAATTGAATTCAAGGTGCTTCTATACCTCCGGTGGATTGGTCAAGCAATCGGCTTGATGAATTTTCACGGTCGGAAAATGTACTTTCATGGCGGGTATTTTTGAAAAAGTAAATGTTGAAAAGGTTTTTACTTGAAAATTTATTTAAAAATATGATTTTATCATAGAAATTATTTTGAAAGTAATGTTAAAAAACATGTTTTATTTTAAAAGTTATCAAATTTTAATTCAAAATGTTTTAATTTTCCAAAGAAGTGTAAAAAGCCTAATGTTTTTGAAATGCTAGTACAGACGGTACAGACTGTTTGTTATGAATGTACATAACCTAGCGTTGTGTTGTCTGTTCATTATTATCACGTACTTCGTGATTATTATTTAATATAATAATAATAAAATCATTAAATTTAGAATATAATATCACAAGCACGACAACACAACGCTAGGTTATGTACATTCATAACAAACAGTCTGTACCGTCTGTACTAGCATTTCAAAAACATTAGGCTTTTTACACTTCTTTGGAAAATTAAAACATTTTGAATTAAAATTTGATAACTTTTGAAATAAAACATGTTTTTTAACATAAATTTCAAAAAAATTTCTATGATAAAATCATTTTTTTAAATAAATTTTCAAGTAAAAACCTTTTCAACATTTACTTATTCAAAAATACCCGCCATGAAAGTACATTTTCCGACCGTGAAAATTCATCGAGCCGATTGCTTGACCAATCCACCAGAGGTATAGAAGCACCTTTAGCATTGGGACGCGTCGCGTCTGCGTTTGCGTCGAGACCATTTGAGTCCATTCTGGAACGGCCCTATGACAGTCCCATGGTAGTGTTTTGCGTTGCGTTTTGTAACTAGGCCATGAGTGCAAATATAGCCAATATATATCTCCATCTCTCTCACACTCATTGCCTAGTTACAAAACGCAACGCAAAACGGTGCCATGGGACTGCACTCTAAGGGTGGAGTCCCATGACAGCGTTTTGCGTTGCGTCGTAATGGGAGAGAAAAAGACGCAAATATACGTTTGCTGCATTCTCTCTCATTACAACGCAACGCAAAACGCTGCCATGGGACTGCGGCCTAAGGCTGCGGTTACACCTCTGCAGGCTGCCTGCCTGCGCAGGCAGGAGCAACGAGAGTAAGGGAGAAGTTTGAAGTCACTGACTCTCTTACTATTGTACGTTACCATGACAACCTGCAGGCAGACAGGCTGCCTGCAGAGGTGTAACCGCAGCCTTAAGGTTCGCAAAGCAGTTGTGCATTGACCTTATTTTACGGATTTTACGCTTTACGTATCCCCGCTACCTAAGATTTGCCCCCTGGTTTCAAAACTTCTAATCTTCTTAAAAGTGAAGTGTGTGCAAGTGCTTTTTGTGGAGTTGTAGACTCTCCATAATGTTGGCCTTATGTGTTAATAGGTTAAAGGTGCTTCTATACCTCCGGTGGATTGGTCAAGCAATCGGCTTGATGAATTTTCACGGTCGGAAAATGTACTTTCATGGCGGGTATTTTTGAAAAAGTAAATGTTGAAAAGGTTTTTACTTGAAAATTTATTTAAAAATATGATTTTATCATAGAAATTATTTTGAAAGTAATGTTAAAAAACATGTTTTATTTTAAAAGTTATCAAATTTTAATTCAAAATGTTTTAATTTTCCAAAGATGTGTAAAAAGCCTAATGTTTTTGAAATGCTAGTACAGACGGTACAGACTGTTTGTTATGAATGTACATAACCTAGCGTTGTGTTATCTGTTCATTATTATTTTGATTATTTAATATAATTAAATCATTAAATTTAGAATATAATAATATCACAAGCACGATAACACAACGCTAGGTTATGTACATTCATAACAAACAGTCTGTACCGTCTGTACTAGCATTTCAAAAACATTAGGCTTTTTACACTTCTTTGGAAAATTAAAACATTTTGAATTAAAATTTGATAACTTTTAAAATAAAACATGTTCTTAACATTACTTTCAAAAGAATTTCTACCTATGATAAAATCATTTTTTAAAATAAATTTTCAAGTAAAAACCATTTCAACATTTACTTATTCAAAAATACCCGCCATGAAAGTACATTTTCCGACCGTGAAAATTCATCAAGCCGATTGCTTGACCAATCCACCGGAGGTATAGAATACGGAAGCTTCTACGCGCCACCCTGCGGCACTCACTCGCTTTACGAGGCACAAGGCAAATGTCGTTTGAAGCACCCTGCTAGTGAATGCCTTGTACGATGCCTCGGTGTGTGCCTCGTAGGGTGCCTCGATGCGTGCTTTGTGCGACCAGTAGTAGACCAGTGTTTTGAAATTTTAAACGGCTTTAAATGTAAATCAGAATTCTCAAAAAAAAAATTTGACTAGTTCAGGTTAAATTAATAACTAATTGCTGTTAATATTTTTAAATTAAAAAGTGTAAATTTTAGAATAATTACAAATTTTGTTGAATCTTTTTTTGGATTGTAGTGAGGGTGTTGAAATGTATTTTTACTTGAGAGATAGGTTATATAACCTCTAGTTGTCTTAAAAATTTTAAGCAAATATGTACATCTTGAATAATTATTGAATTCAATCCTCATATATAAAAATATATTGAATCGTACTTGCAGCTTGTCATAAATAACTTTTTTGGTAGGTGAAAATGGTGAAAACATAACCTTGACATTTTATACTCAAGTAAAAGAAACATTTCAACACCCTCACTACAATCTAAAACAAGATTCAACAAAATTTGTAATTGAAGGGTGGCATGACAAAAATGGTCAAGCAACAATTTAACGATTTTACAGGAAACGAAAATAACACATTAAAAATTTTTTCTGATCATTAAAGAAAAATCTAAAAAAAACCGTTTGGAAATACTATTTCGCTCAATCAGTAGAAATAAAATTTATGAAGATAAACCTACAACCTACATATTAGTGAGAAAAATAAGTAAAAGTGTACTATTTTGTGGTTACGTCAAATGCGCATATTTTGTTATAAAATTATAATTGTTAAAAAATATACAGTTTAAAGAAAAACTGAAAAATTAGTTTTTTAATATTGAAATGACGAATTGAATGCAAAAAAGTTTGCTTTGAAAAAGTTGTTTGTTTTCAAGAAAATTGTTAATTTAATGTTAACTTTTGAAAGTAAAAAGTATAGAAATTATCAAATGTAAACTACAAACAGGAATATTTAAAAATTAACAGAAGAATAATATTTAAATTATTGAAAATTAGATAAAGAATAAAAATTATTTCTAAATAGACATACAGTTTTTCAGAGAAATTTAATATATATTTAATGATATAAAAAAGAAATAAATATTTTTAACGATATTAATCTATTCATAATAATATTCTTTTCTTTTGTTTTTTAACTGAATTGCATTGTAAGTAAAAATATGTAGGCTATTGTCTTATTCTTATTTTTATTAAAAACGAGTTTAAAAAACAATTTACAAGAAAATCCTTTTACAGAACTGTGTAAAAGAATTTACCTGATTTTTTTCTAAAAATATCTCAATTTCGAAAAATTGTTGCTGACTCCCTTTTGTCATGCCACCCTTCAATTATTCTAAAATTTACACTTTTTAATTTAAAAATATTAACAGCAATTAGCTATTAATTTAACCTGAACTAGTCAAATTTTTTTTTTGAGAATTCTGATTTACATTTAGGGTGGAGTCCCATGGCAGCGTTTTGCGTTGCGTTTTGTAACTAGGCAATGAGTGTGAGAGAGATGGAGATTAATGTTTGCTATATTTGCACTAATGGGCTAGTTACAAAACGCAACGCAAAACGCTGCCATGGGACTTCACCCTTAAAGCCGTTTAAAATTTCAAAACACTGGTCTACTACTGGTCGCACAAAGCACGCATCGAGGCACCCTACGAGGCACACACCGAGGCATCGTACAAGGCATTCACTAGCAGGGTGCTTCAAACGACATTTGCCTTGTGCCTCGTAAAGCGAGTGAGTGCCGCAGGGTGGCGCGTAGAAGCTTCCGTAATAGAAGCACCTTAAGAATGTGTTGTCCTTTGTCCTTTGACGTTTATATTGTATATTTATCATTTCTATTCAATCGTACAGTTGTTCGTGAGAAATATTAAGTTTTCATAATGAGAATAGTTTTAGACATTCGTGATTAAGTTTTATCAGGGTGGCCGCTGGACCGGGAAACCGGGAAAAGACAGTGAATTTTGATCTTGACCGGGATTTTTGAATTTTTTTTTTAAAACACACATTACTTTGTGAGAAAAAATAGAAATATTTATTTTAATAGACTTAGGTATTAACTATATTTCATTAAAAAAGATTGAATGATCTTCTATAAAATCTATTTATATTTTGTCAGAGAATTTTATAAAAAGTACTATAAAAATATTCAATTTCTAGAATTTATAAGAAAATTATGAATTTTGTTGTCCAACGTGACAGACTTAGAAAAAGAAAATATTAAATTTAATTTTAAATTCTTTCTATTTCTAACAATAATTAAACAAAATATAATTTTAATTAAATATGTCAAAAAAATTTCAAAGAGAAAAAATTTCACATCCTATAAAATAGTGAAAAATAGATCAATTTAAAAAATTTTTT